AAAAGACCACATATTGTACAATTCCATTTATATGAAATGTTCAGAGTAGGCGAAATTTTAGAGACAGAAAGTAGATTTAGTGGTGTATAGAACTAGGGAAAAGGGTTGGGGGAAAATGGGGAGTATCTGCTAAGGGGTACAGAATTTCTTCTTGGGGTGATGAAAATGTTCTAAAGTTGATTGTAGTGATGGTTGCACAACTTTACGAATAAATAAAAAACCATTAAATTGTACACTTTAAATAGGTACATTTTGTGGTTTGTGAATTATATTTCAATACAGCTTTTTTTTTTTTTTTAAGAAACTGATAGTTGAGAAAGAACCAAATAGAATGTATAGAAATGAAAAATCGTACTGAAATTTAAAACTAGATGGACAGGTTACACAGGAATTTGACATAGCCAAAGAAAGAATGAGTGATTCAGAGGAAGATGATCCAGAATGCAGCACACACAAAAAGATAAAGATACGAAAAATGTAAAAGAGAGGTATGGTTTCTATACCCAGCTAAACTATCAGTCAGCATACTAAACTAAACTTCAACATCTCCAGCTCTGATCTCACCATTACAAACTTAAGCGTTCATTGACACAAGACACAACAACAACGACTGAAGAGTTGCTGGATAAAATGTCAACTCTACAAAAAAACAAATAACATTTTCACAGTGCTTGCTAATAATTCATAAGCAACAGAGAAGATGGATTAAGATTTGAGCTTTCTAAACAGAACAAAGTTGAAAAGCATAAGTGGTTCAAATACCATTGAAGTGACAAAATTGGTTTTCATGTGTATCTTATGAAATCCGTTGAATGCTTCATGATCATATAGCATTTATAGTATATTAATATATGTTGCATTTAACTCTTATTCCTAGAAGGGTTTATACCAGAGGTAATAAGCCACTATACTTTAGACCTATCATTAGTGTTTTTATAAATTTGATAAGTATTCACCTTTTTTCGAGCACTAACATTTTCAGTATATTCATATAAGTGTGACTGGATGTTTACTCTGCAATGAACTCTGCTAGAAAGCTCACAGCTTTTTCTCAAAATCCGTTTATGCCAATGCCTTATTACCTTTTTATATTTGTTGAATCTAAAATCTGTATATTCCCTTCGAGGACTTCAGACCCATAATCTGTTTTGCAGTGGTCTATTTTATTGTTTTTTGAAAGCTGGAGAAAGCCAACCTCTGATGTAGTTGTTTCCTGTGAAATGAAGAGCATCTTGTCTACATCATAAATTCATCCTCTTAACAGTCTTGAGGAGCTACTATGTGCCAAGCACTGAGCAACCTGCAGTGAACCATTCAGGAATCATCCCTGCCCATGAGATGTTTGCGTTCTAATGGTGGGGCAGGGGTGGGAAGAGGTAATCAATAAAGAAATGAATGAGAAAAAGATAAGCTAGTGTATTAGTTTCCCACTGCTACTGTAACAAATTAGTAGAAACTTAGTGGCTTAAAACAACACATATCTATTCTCTTACAGTTCTGGAAAGTCTGAAATGAGTCTCAAAGGGCTGAAATCAAGGTGTCAGCAGGGCTGGTTCCTTCTGAGGAGAATCCACACGCTTGCCTTTTCCAGCTTCTAGTGGCCTCCTGTATTCATTGGCTTATGGCCTCTTCCTCCATCTTCAAAGTACATCACTCCAGTCTCTGCTTCTGTCATCACAGTGCCTTCTCCTCTGACTTCTCCTGTGTCCCTCTTATAAGGACCTTTGTGATTATATCCAGCCCATCCAGACAATCCAAGATAATACCCTCCTCTCAAAATCCTTACCTTGATCACATTTGCAGAGCCCCTTTTATCACATAAAGTAGCATTCACATGTTCCAAGGGTTAGGACTTGATGTCCTTGGGAAGTCATTATTCAGGCTGCCATAGCTAGTGATAAGCCCTACTAGAATTAAAATAGAATGCTATGATAGAGAAGGCCTAAAACACTACTCCACGTTGAGTTGTTAGGGAAGGCCTGAAATCCAAATTACAGGAATGCAGTGGGGGCAGGAGAACATTCTAGGCAGAGGGAACAGCTAATGAAAAACTCTACAGCAGAAATGAGCTTGGCATGCTGGAGAAGTTAATACTCTTGGACTGGAAGAAAGTTACAGAAAGGTAAATAAGTTTTCAGAATAAGAACACTTAAAGCCCCATCTTCTCTCTTGGTATTTTATATGGGAATTTGCCCAAAACTATTGTTATCAGCAAGGACCTCTTTTGTCACGAAACAAAGTAGAATTCTTGTGAACATCCCAGAGCACCCATCCAGGCAGAGGGCCCATCACCAGGGCCCACACTAGGTTCAGAAGAAGGCATAAACCTCAAAATAATTTGGAGTGTGGCTTTCAAAATCTTACTGACGTTGTCATCTACAATTGCATCTCATGAGTTTTGTGAACATAAACAAGATTTTTGATTACTTAAACTAAGCAGGAGCTAAAAGAGGAAACCTTGGTTGCCTGCCCCTGGGGAGGTGGGGCGCTGATTTCCAGCGAGGCCAGGCCAGCTCCTCTTCAGGGCGGCATCCTGGGCAGTTGGAGAGCTGCCATAGAGCTTTCTCAGCAGGCAGAGAACTGTGGAGCAAAGTGGCCGCTCCTTGCCTTCTCCCGAGTCATTCCTGTCTATCGATTTACTTTCCTTGGCTCTGAACATCAGTGAAGCCCCAGAACAAATAAGACTGTGGGTTTCCAAGCTTGCATGAAACTGACAGACATACTTGAAGAGTCTAACACAAATGGCCTTTTGAGAGTGCTCCCACCTTTTTACACCTATAGCACATTTGACTGTACCTCTACTACTGCTTTCATTGTGGTCCTCTTCCTACCTCCTGCACACGTATTAAAGGCTTGGGTCAAGCCCGCTTCACTCTGCACTCCTACAACCCCCAGCAGGGTGCCTGGCACAGAGCAGATAATCAATACTCACTTGTTCTTTTGTTCAACAAACACCTGCCAGGCATCTATGTGCCAAGCTGAACTGCACTCCTCTTAATGTTGGTGCTGGCCGTTCTCAAAGACTTCTAAAGGAGCAGGATGGTCCTAACAAGGAAATGACTCCATAAGGAGAGTTAAATATGACTGAATATCTGTTTGAAGATTTGCATATAATTCTCATCTTGGCAATCAAATCCGGCCATCTGAGATATTTGCTGGTTTTATGGTAGTTTGTTAATCTCTGTCTTTTCTGGCTCTGAACCACATTGCTGAGCTGTGGGGTGTGAAATGTTAAGCCTCTGCTCTCTTTCCATCTCCTCGGTTGACTGCCTTGCAGCAGAGGGTGAAATGACCCCATTCATCAGGAGGCACAGAGGGAAGTTCTAAGACAAATGGTGACCTGAAAAGTTAAGGCAGCAATTTTCAAGTTTAAATGAAAACCAACAGACGTACTTGAAGAGCCTAATACGTAATAGTAATTATAAGTAATTTATAGTAATTATAAGTAATTTATAGCAATCATAACGTCATGAGTGCATCTCACATATGGCAAATGAAACACAATTGGCAAATCCTATGAGCCAAATGCTAGAAATTTGTTAAGAAAGGAGGTGGCTGCTTCCACTGCCTGAAACCTAGGGCTGATGTGTTATTTCTCCCAATACCCAAGAACACATACCCTTTTAGTTCCCAAGCACGATATGTTTTATAGCTCACAAAATCTGATAACATTGTCCCAGAGTCCAAGTAGTTTGTTCTGTTCTAAGTCCAGCAGCATCTCATACTCCAGGAGTTCCCATCTGGGCCACACAGTGCCTTCTTTGTGTACATTTCCCAATGAACTTTATCACAGAAGCAGTTTAGAAGCATCATATTTTTACAGGCCATAAAAGACGCAATTGCACCCAGATAGAAGTTTTTTAAAACCAGAATAAGACTTCCCACTCTTGTTGGGTGGATGTCTCAGACGGTAAGTGGTGGTTCCTGCTGGGAGAAGCCTGTTCCGTATCCTCAGGGTCTGGGCTGAGGCTGGGGTGGAGACAGAAAAAGGAGCATCAGGAGCTACGCACCTGCTTAGACTCTGAGCGCTGAAAGGAAGAGCTGGGTCACCTCAGCTCACCTTGGTTTTCTAAATCTAGGAACGATCTTGTGAATAGCACGGTTAAATTGCATTGAGTTAAAGGTGGCTCTTAATGTGAAGTTTAAAAACGTACTGCCATTTCTGTAACCAAATCTTGGCATTTATTAATTTTTGATATATCAGAGCTTCCCAAAATGCAAATGGCAGCCCCCTTCCTCCACCTATGAGAGCCCGTGTCCTGGGGTCCCTCTCATCTTTGGAGTCAGTGAGATCCAGGGGGTCAAGCAATGAAATCAATACAACTGGGGTACATGGGCCCCTCTTCCCTCAGTCCTCAAAAGGCAGCTCTGGGGGAGCGCCCAGGGAGAGCGTGAGACTCGGGGCTTCCGGGGCCAGCACCGCGCGGGACACTACAGGGCTCTAGGACCACAGAGGCCTGACCGCCCGCGGTGCCTGCCCTGTCCAAGCAGAACAGCAACACAAGCTACGGACGCCTCCGGGGTCCACGTCCTCGCGTCGCCAGGATGGCTCCACTAGCAGTGAAAGAGCGCAGGGTTGCCGACCCGCCCTGCATGCCTCAGGTGGGGATGCCCAGCCCACACCGGCCGCTAGATCCCGTCCACTTCTGCTGCCTCAGGTGGCCCCGCCCACTTGGCCCCGCTCACCTCCGCCCCGCCCACACGGGCTGCTAAACCCCGCCCACTCAGGCCCCCTCAGTTGGCCCCGCCCCACCGCTTGGCCCAGCTCACCTCTGCCCCGCCCACCCGGGCGGTGCTGCCCCCCCCTCACACCACAGCTCGGCCCGCCTCCTCCTCGCCATCCCCGGCCGCTCGGCCCCGCCCATCCCGGCCGCCTCAGGTGGGGCCGCTCCGCCCACATGGGCCGAACTCCCTCGCGGCCGCCCCGCCCACGCCGGCCCCGCCCACCCCGGCCGCCTCAGGTAGGGCCGCTCGGCCCGTTCCGCTCGCTCCCCCGCGTCAGGCTGCGTCTCCTCAGCTCCTCAGCTTCTGGGGGACGGCGGCGCCGCAACTTTTGACATTTTGGCGGCTGAGGCGCGCGCCGGCACTCCCGGGCCGACTGCGGACCCTCGAGGGCCCCTCAGCCGCGCTCCGGCGCTCCCGCCGCCCCGGGTCGGGCGGCCACGAGGCCCGGCCGCGTCCTCCCGCGCTCGCCCGCCGGGCGGCTGCAGCCATGTCGCGGGGGCCGGAGGAGGTGAACCGGCTCACCGAGAGCACCTACCGGGTAAGCAGGCCCTGGGCGGCCCGGGACCCTGGCGGCACGGGCGTGCGGGGTTCGAGGGCGGGGATGCCCGGGGACCCTGGGGCGCCGGGGGCGGGGATCGCGGCGGAGAAGCGGGAGGCCTTGCTGGGGCAGGTGGGGGTTCCTCGCCTTGGGGTGAGGAGGGGACTTCACGCGGGAATCTCCTCCCCTCCCCCCGCGCTCCCGGCCATGGAGACGCCCAACAAACTACACGTTGCACAGCCAGACGTATTTCGGGGGAGATAGGGGGCGGTCTGTGCAGTCCCCGCGGCCACGTCCTCCTCCCGGCTTCTCCGTGGGTCGGGGACCGCGCCGGCGGGGCTGGCGCTTCGGCTCTCGGAGAGCGGAGAGCCGGGCTCGAGTTTCCCCCGAGAAAAGGCTGCGCCCGCCCGAGAGCGCAGGGCGAGACTCGGGTGATCAGGGAGCCCAGGTGAACCGAGCCTGCGCTTCCGGGGGGCCCCGGCTCCGGGGTCCACGGCGCGGCGAGTCTGCTCCCTGGGAGGGTGCAACTCTCTCCCTCCGAGACCTCTTCGCACCAGCTTTCAGCTCCACTTGGCTCTTAGACATCTTTCATTTTGTGAGGTTATTGGAGCAGAGGACGCCCGAGGTTTTGTTAAATTGACCCGACCGTAAGGAATGCGTGGATGGTCATTCTCTTAACTTGCATTTATTACGAAGTTTTCCAGAAACGGATTTAGGATTAGTGGCCACTTTAGTAAGTACGAGTACTTCTAAATGAATGCCAGTTGAAATAAGATATATGTTTAATCATCTGCTATTAATACAATACAACACAACTCTTGTTTTAATTCAGCTTATGGCTCATGGAACCCCTGAGACTTTCAAGTTCTCCAAATTCATTTGGAGTCATTTTTAAGGCCCAGAGTTTGGTCATTTTTATAGATTTTTTTTAACCCTAAAATTCAGTTTCTAGATTTGCAAGGTCTGAGTGAATTCCTGAAATCAGAGTTTATTGACTTTTGTTGGAGAATAAAAAAGAGCATGAAAATATATTCATAATCTATCCCTTGAAGCTCAAAAGAGTATTGATTCCCTTCGTATGAATACACAAATACTGTAACATGTGAGTTACACTTGATAGATAGAGATAGTAAACACAGTTGACACAGCATTTTGGGGCCAATTAAGTAACTGTGACCAAAATCTGTTACTTATTCATGTGTTTCTTTAGCAGATGGCAATTTTTAGAAATTCTGGAAATTTGAATGTTCAAGTTTTACCTTTATATTGAAGTTGTTAATATTTAAATGATTCTGAAGATGGGCGGGAAGGAATTGTGGGGTGTTGACAAAATGTGTAAATAAAACATATCTTAGTCTTGGAGAGTGATAGCTACTCGGATGACTGTCAGTAAAGAAAAAACTGTGTGTAATTGAGGAATGTAGATCATTGCGGCGTCTACAGTATCTGCTGGGCCACAAAAACACTTGAACACGGGAGTTTCTCTCCCCCTGCCTCCAAGAATACAGACACTTAAATTTTTCCAATCTGAAATGAGATATCAACTTGAGACAAGCAATCAGATGCTTAGGAGTAACTCTTCTCTTGGCCCTTTCTCCCACTTCTTCCCTGATTTCACTTTTAGTGATGACTCAGTGGAGGACTGTACTCCAGTGGATTACAGTGCCACAAATGCCAACCACTTTTGCATGTCATATTACCCAAAAAACTGGGGCAGGAGGAGTGTGGATTTCATAGTTTTGGTCATATGTATTTATAGATATAAGGCAGTGTAAATCATTTTCATTTTTCGAAAAGTTATTATAACTGAAGATCAAAGACCAGTATCTTAGTGCTTTCCATTCCCAGGTGTCTTAAAACATTAAAAGCTCACAAATGTTTGTTCATTGACTTTAATCACCATTTCCTCGTTAATGTTTTGGGATCATGTTTTTTATATTGAGATGGTGGAATAAGAATTTACAGCTCCAGACAACAAATTTATGTATAATCTATGAAGTGAATGCTGCTAGCTCATGCTTTGGCCATGATGGAAATACACAGTGAATTTTACGTTCACAGGTCAATTGAAAGGCTGAAATACTTTCACTACCTCTCCATTAGGTTCTTCCTCCCCACCTTACCTACCCCTCATGATCAAAGCTGAAAACAATTTAAGCTTAATATGGAAAAAATCTACTGACAGTGTTGATGAATCTAGTTCTTTTAAAAAGAGATTTCCCTGATGTTACTGAGCTATCTACAATGTTTTACTAATAGAAACATAACCTAACCAGGTGCGTTTACAAAAGCCACCTGCAAATGAGATTTTACGACTTGCTAGTATGGATTTTAGATTTTTTTTTTCAATACTCAAATTTCTCCAACTATAAAATAAAGGAATAAATTCTTCACAGAAAATGGGGGATTATAAAGTAGTATGATCCTCTGTATGCCGTATCAAAAATCCTTTAGTATATATTTACACATATGCTGAGTTTTCTAAAGTGGATATTTAGAGAAATGATTACTGGAGATTCATGCTAAATCCCAGAAGGATGTCTGTTTTATGGCTTCACAAATGGCATGATAATAAGCCCCCAAATGTCAAGTAATGTTACCGTTGCTAATTAGAGCTAAGCCAAAGATCCCTCCCACTCCCCACACTTCAGTCTATAGTATGCCCGTAATTTGCCCTCAGCTTCCTACTTGTGATTTTGCATGGTTTTCTGATGAGTACGTGCATTAGTGGTACAAGGAAGAAGTAAAGTTCAAAAAAAACCCTTAATTAAGAGTAACAACAGCCTTCCTAGAAATTAGAACTGTTAAAGTCTTAGGAAGTTGAGGGGGGATGGGTGTGACATCATCCAGGGATGTCATACCTACATTAATCTTGCTAAAGTAGCAATGAAGGGGAAAAATGACACCTAGAAAGCAGAGGGAGGGAAAGGGACACAAGTCTTTGTTTAAATGTCACCTTCTCAGAGAGGCCTTCTCAAACAACTCTTTAAAATAGCAGACAACGCCATCCATCTCCCAACCCCGCCTAACTTGACCTTTTCCCCCATAGCACTTACTACTTAGGATATACTATATATTTATTTATGATGTTTATCTCTCCCCCCTCTCCAACTAGAATGTGAGCTCCCAAAGGAAAGGAGCTTTGTTTTGTTGTATTCTGAGCTCTTAGAACAGTTCCTGGCGTGGAGTGGACGTGCATATTTGTAATAAGTGAACACTAATTTATTTAGTAAGCACCTGTGCTATGCCAGGCTCCCACCTCCCTCCCTTGATACTTTTCATAGAGCATTTGTTTCATTCTAAGTGTACATCAGCCATCAAGGTGGATATGGATTTTGTTTGTTTACCATTGAGAAACTAAGGCCCAAAGTCTATGAGTGACTGGTACCCAGATACCATTTACCCTGCCAGCCTCCATCCCTCTTCTTTTTGAATAGTAATTTAGTTTCTAGTGACCAAAAAATGCACCAACAGAATACCTTTTCATAATTTGGTGATCTAAGATGTTACCAAAATTTTCTGTCATTCTATTAATTTGTCATCATTGACATATTTTGAACAAAGCTTTTTTTAAATTGGAAATTGAGATACTTTTGTTCTTTCACTGGGTAAAGTAAGCATTCTAGGCATGTGTACTAGGTTTTGTTTATTTAATGGCTTTTTATTTTCTCGACTTGGGTTCAATTGGGGTGTATAAGTGAAACTTCCTGCCTGGTTGGCTTCTAGTGTGGATTATGCTGTACAGGTCTAGCTTTTGAAGCTTTAAGTTGCCTTTTATTTTTATTGCTGTAGCTGTATACGCTATTAGATATCTTCATCTGTTCCCAAATGCTACTTTCTTCAAGTGTGCTGAAGATAAAATGGGATTTGCAGAAGCCCAGACAACTTGCTCTTGGCTCTGTGATGACTAAAAAAGAGGACAGTAAGAATCAGGTGCCAAGTAGCAGCAGAAAGGGTTGCCAGGTGGTGAATATTAAACTGAACAGCCCAGTATTGTAGCTTTTTGGCTGGTAAAATGAAAATACAAAGCCTAACAATAGATATCTTTTTCTGTCATAACATTTTTCTTGACTGGGAAGAGGTTTTAGAACCATGATAACATTGTTGCTGTGCAGACAGAGCAGCCTGTGAGGCTGAGAGCAGCCTTTATTATGAAGCCTGTGAGACTGGGACCACATGGAGAGGTGACACCATTCACACGTTTCAGGTTGCTTTTGAGTTTACATTATTTCAGTATTGGACATTAATTCTTGTCTTGCACTTCTATTGTAATGAGCCACGGGCAGACCTGCAAGGGAAATCTAATGTGCATGGAATTGCAACAAATTGGATTTTTGTTTTCCTCAAGATTCTACACAGCTATTTATTCTGTTCTGCAGTTCAAAAGTAAAAATTATTTTATAAAAGCAACACAAACAATAACTTATCTGTTGACACTTGTAAATATATTTTTTATTTGTTTCTAAAACTTTTTATTGAACTGTAATATACATACAGAAAGATGTGCTTAGGTGTACAGTAGGCCCCCTTACCCATCCAGGATATGTTGGAAGACCCCCCAATGTATGCCTGAAACCGAGGATAGTACTGAACACTGTATATACTATGTTTTCCTATACATATATGTTTGAGGTATGACAGCAAAACTCGCACAAATTTATTTTTCCTTCTTCACACTTTCACAGATAGAGGATTTGTTCTTACCATAGATCTTAGCAACCTCAGCATACTATTTTTTTTCTTAAGTCAAGAACTTTAACCTTTTTGCTTAATGGAAGCACTTTACAGTTTCTCTTTGGCATATGGGAATTACCGGCATCACTACTCTTGCTCTTTGAGGCCATTGTTAAGTAAGATAAGGATTACTTGAACACAAGCACTGCAGTACCTAGACAGTTGATCTGATACCCAAGATGGCTAGTAAGTGACTAACGGGCAGGTAGCATATACAGCATGGATATGCTGGACAAAGGGATGATTCGCATCCTGGGCTGGGCCAG